TATCATAAACCATAATTTAGTTATTATTTGTACTTACTGTCTACTGTCTGCAGATACTTGTAAGAGTCTACTGATCTATAACACTTGTTAACATGCGTTGACACATTTTGATAATTGCTGCTATCTTGTGATTGATGTTGCAGTTTAAGTGTTTAGTACCTACGCAAAAACAATTTTCTTGTGGTTCATAATTGTTATTTTGTTGTGTTCATAAACATTTAACAATATTATATTGAATTATACATTTACACTTAATTAAATATAACTTATCAATTTAATTTTTATGAACATTCTAATTTCTATAGCCATAAGTTTACGAGGTTGGACAAAAAAATGATAATAATTTTACATTATTAGCATATGACATTATAATTTATAATAATATATACCTAATACATAGATATTGACTATTGTCAAGAATTTCAAATTTCACGATCATAATATTATATTATATTAAATCAATTGATGCATCAATTAAGTTAATAAAATTAATAATGAATTTCAACTTTAAAATTTCAACAATATTATTTGCTATTAATTGTATAATAATTAATTCAAAATATTTATGCAGGTATACCTATCAATAATCAATGTAATTTTGATGCAAATACTACCAGAAATATGATTGATTACAGCACAATGTATCATGCTATACGTATACTTATTTAAACCTACTGAATACAGGATAATACATTAAATTATAAAAATAGATAGTCATTATTAATTTTTGGTTTTACACATTTCTATTATAATAATATTTTTAAGGTTCTATAAATGGACCCATCCTGCAATATAACTATATATAAGTTGATTTATCATAATACTGTATCAATTCTTTTAAATTAACAGGTGTTCGTTAAAATGTATCTATTTAACCATAAAATGTACACTATGAAAATATACCTAATACATCTGTGTTTATGGGAAATTGTATTGTAATTATTTTAATACATGTCTATTGCCATCATTAATAATATCATACCTACTAAGAACTATTCACATTTTTAGTTAATACGCTTAAAATAATAATGTAACTATATTATAATAACTATAAAATTATTTTAAAATGCAATTAATTAAAATATAGGATTAAGTAAATCACATATTTTGCTAGTACTTTTTTTTTTTTTTATTAATTAACTTACAAATTATTTAGTTGTATTGAATTGTGTCTACAACGGATGAAGAAAGTGCACTGTAAATTATAATTAAACAAAGTATAATTCGTGACGAAACTTAAAAACTTAACGCAATGAATGAACAAAATTCTCTGAGAATTCCAAGATACGTCGTATTGTAGTCGTTAAAGCATACGATGAACTTAAATTGTTATGAAAACCCATTACGAAGTAAGTGAAAACTATTTTTAATGACCCTAAGTTCAAAATATAAATCCACATGGAATTTTTCATTTATAATATTTCACTTCTGTTAGTTAAATATTAATTAAATTTTACAGTAGATCAATAAATCTATCTGACGATATACATACTATATATATTATAATATTAAATGTATTATTTATATTATATTATATAGAACGTTTAAATGTTTAAAACCGTTAATAGTATTGTAAGTTTGAGTATGAAATGGATTGTTTTTCGATTTATTCAAGTTGTAATATAAATCATATTTCTATAAGAATAATATTCTGAACAATACCATGATAGCTAACAATTTATTATGAACAAAAAACAAAAGGAATTGTATACAAATAAGAATAATACAAATAGATGTAAATATTATTATTATTATTATTATTTGAAAATGTCAAATAAGTATAATATACAATATACATTATAAATCAATAATCATAATACATAATATATTATAATGAATATATAATATAATAATATATCTAAAATAGTAAATATTAAATAGGTAATATACAAAAATATGGTGGTTATTTATTTTCGCCTTGTTATTCACACTGTTTTAGTTAAATTAGTTTTAAATATTTCAAATATACAAAAAGAGTAATTTTATATAATATAATAGAAGATACCTATTCCATTTACATAAATCTCTATCAAGTCTAAATAGATTAAATACATTTAATTATTTTAATATAAATACGTTTGCGTATTTATACTATTAGTTTTATCATAATTTCGACAGTGTTAAAAATGTTGCATTTTACTTGTCGGTTATAAACATTTAAGTATAGGTAAATACCAATGTCATTATACTAAAACCACTGAAATTCTGCATTATGTTCACAATTTTATAAGTACCTAGCCACCTAGGTCTGGTAAGTTTGAGATGCAATGATGTGGTAATTTTCAAGAGTGAAATACTAAATACTTAAAAGTACCACAGTAAATTGATGTTAAATCTTTATAAAGGTTTGCAGCACTTGAAAGGTTAAAATGACGGTAACCCGTAGTAACAAATTTCAGAAACAGCAAATTCAATTTCCTGGCAATATTTTTCTTTACACCTGCTACTGAACTTGGATTTTAAACATTGATAGGATGCCAAATTTTTGAAACGAAGGAGTACAATGTATGAGAAAAAGCCCGTCAGCTATATAATTGGCTTGCTTCCGGATGAAAAATGTTTAATATGGCACTAACACAAAATACGTTAAAGAATGCAGGTAAAAGTGCTGTAAAATAAAGAAAAAAGCACGAAAATCTATAAAAATGGAAATATCAAAACTATATTAATATTAAGCATTAAAATTATCAACCATGCATTTTAAAGGACTGTTTAAAATTAATTAATTTTAATGGTGGATAGAAAAAGGTTTATGTGTTTTTATTTCTACATGAATAAAATACATGGAATATATAAAACAGATCAAACAACAGCTCAACTTGGACCATGCGTATAGATAATTAATTTAAACATTTAGATTCTATATTGTATTTTTAAACACGAAATGACACAATTATGATATTATTAATAACTATAATTATACAATTATATTATATTATTACAATCAAATATTACATAAAAAAAAATCTTTAATATTATATGATCATAATATGATATATTCATACCATGTATATTGTGTGTTTTTTTTTATGGTTAAAATCAAATAATATACCTTCGTTTTAATTTGTACAATGGTACCTACTTAATAACAATTGAAACTAATAGGTTTATGACATTAAACTATTTAAGTATTGATTACACCGTGGTAATAGCAATGGGGTGATAAGCATAAATTGCCGCAACATGAATTATTTCGCAAGCTATAAAGTCTCTCAAACGAATGAAAATAAAATCGATGATTAAAAATGTTTTTGTTTATGGTTATTGGAGATGTACAAGTACATTTCTCAACGCGAAAACCATCGCAATCAAAAGCAACATCGACCGGCAGATATTTTTCGTCGGAAAACGCGGCCTAGGGATTTTATCCCGTTTTTCCGAAAGAAAGGATAAAAGCGTTTTATATTTTTCCATTTTCACTTGACGTCAATTACATAAGTTCAAATATAATAAAAAAAAAAAAAAAAACAGAGGGAGAGAGCAGAAAATAAAGCTAGGCAAAGTAGACAGTCGGAAAGTACGCACAATCGGAATTATCACCCTTGGTCGTAAATATACCTATACATAGTTACTCGGGAATCCGGCGCAATTGTCGGGATCAAACCTGAGCCACTGCAGTATAGGGGAATCTGACAGATATATTATTATATAAATAATATATATATAGCAATATAATAGACCGTTGACATGAGCTTTCCGTGACAACGCACCGTAGAAGTGTCCAATAATATATTTACGCTGTGATTCTAGAAGGTTTTGAAAAACAATTTGTAACAATATTAACGAGTCGACGCCACTTGACTTGAGTATGGTTCACGTCACGGTATCATTATTTTATTATACTTGCGATGGTTTTAAGCGCATAAAATAATAGTAAGTAGAAATCGATGTAGGTACCTATGTACAATGCAAAAGGTAGTTGATTACAATGTATTAAAAGCTATAATCATAATTATTAATGTATACCTAACGGTTAATAGGTATATATACAAGTCGACGGGTGAATAGGTGTGGGTAACGGTATTATAATGAGGCGTCTACATTATTGTTTCGGACGTAGACGACTGAACTAGGGTAGTTGTATGTTGGGGATGACATCTATTGGCGGTAAAATAACTATACACCGATATTGTTAGTTGGTATAGGTATACATATCGCATATTGTTGTTATATTTTGCATAATCTGTGGCGACTGCAGACGTAGGACGAGTTAACTATCACGTGGTCAGATACCAAAGTGAGGCGCAAATAGAGTTTAAAATGTTGAGGAGGGGGGTTTGAGATGAGATCAAATCGATATGATGATATTGTACAAGTAACAAAGACCTAAAATTAATTTTAATCGCTTCGCTTTGACCGTAATATCACTACACTTTTAAGTAGGCTACTTTTTGACAAAAAATTAAATTATACTTTGTTTATATTTACGACGACGACATTAAAATGTAACAAAATAATGTGACCCATTTGCTTAGACACGTATCGCGTACACATGATACATAAATGTATATCGTCAGCTAATGACGTATGACATGAATAATCAAGATGCTGACCACAGGTGTCTATAATATGTCGCGGTAAACGTAATATTTTCGGGTAGCCAATATACTCACCGAATAAATATATGATATATAAAATACTATATTATGTAAACACATAATTATATAATTACATTTCTTACAACTATATGACGTATCGCTCCGTAATATTCGTATTTCTTTCTAATACATATTCTCGAGGAGGGGGGTGGGCATTAAAATTGAGCCGCACTCGTATTCCCACCCGTTTGCGCCTACGCCTATGTATGAGAATACAATACCATATTAAAATTACAACTGTGATGGGCATACGTACAAATATTGTTATATTAGACGCATACGACATTATGACTATAAATAATATTATAAAACGTCCGTCGGTGGCGGTCGTGGAAGAGCGCACAGTCCGCGAAGTGTTCGTCCACCCGGACACGACGTCTCCATCGGATCACCGTCATCCGATCACACGTTTGTGTACTGTATGCATTCGGGCAGCGTGTGCGACCACGTGCCGTCGCCGAGGCAAACAGGTGGGCTGGCTTCCAGTGGCAGTGGCAGGACATAACCTGACAGGCATGTGATCTTCAACTTATCGCCTGGCACGTACCAGAACTTCAGAGGTATGATACGTCCGTTGGGCGGCTCGCCCGGGTATTCGCATCTGGCTTTGCCTGCAATTTTGCCAATATTCAGAACACGCAGGAGAGCGCACGAAATTCGTTTCTCTACGGCGGCTCAAGGTATTATTATATTATATTATAATATTATTTATTACATTTATTGCGGATTGTTATTACGTGGCACGACGATTTTTTGAATTGTACTAGGGGCAGCTGGACTGTCTTAGAAAAGTAGATTCCAACCTACTATATGCACAGGTACAATGGGTATGCCATAATCGATCAAAATGGTTAATAAATGTATAACAAGATTGTGTAACAATATGGCTCTACGTCATAAATCATAATAACTATTAAAAACATATTATTAAATAATAAATAATATTGAATAATATTTTTAACTATTCGAATGAGTTACTGAAATTCTATGAAAAAAATTCCCATTTAAAAATGTACCTGTACAATAGTAATTATTTATTACAATAGATCGTGTTACTAGTCATTTTATAATTTTATAAAAATAGTAGGTGCACGCACCAAAAATGCATATAATAAGGTAAATTAAATAAAGTGAAAATGTTCAGCTCGTGACACAAATTATTACCATTATATTATATCTAATTACAACTTTTATAATAGAGGTGAAAGTTTTGAATTAATATTCAAGTGAAATATTTTTTCAGCGATAACTTTATTGGGATATTATTAGATTGACATTTTCCAAATAAAACGGAAAAACATTATATGAACTATTATATAACATAAATGAGTTTTGTTATTGTCAAAAAATAGTTCAATGTACCGTGTTACACTTTGTTACTAATAAGTAATATAAATATAAATTATAATAAAATATTCTTAAAATGAATATAGAATGTGTCATCTTATATATTTTATCTAATCCCCCCGGATCTTAATCATACAGCAATGTTACAGTAACCTAAACAATGGCAAGGTAGACTTGAAATATACTTCATGGCAGGCCGTAAGTCATACTTCTCTGTTTTTTTTTTCAAATGAGAATCATTCTTTTTTTTTATGGTAAATTATTAAAAGAACGTAACACCCACATGTGTAGTCTCCGTCTTAAAATCGTACAACCAAGGAAATTTGCATTCAGCAAAATTAATTTTATGTTGTTATTGCTTTAATACGATATTTTAATTTCTGTATTCAAAGCTATAACATTACAAAATTGGTTCGGCTGAATGCAAATTTGCTATGTTGTATATATGTAATAGACGGATAAAACACATATTATAGGTAAGGCATTAACAATGTATAAATGTACAGTAAGTAAATGGTTCTTAATTGAAAATAATAATAAATTGTATTGTCACAGGACACACCTTAAATGGTATTAATAATCTAAGTATTTGTAGAAAATAAAGTTTTATTAAGTACGTATACTCACAACTTCCCGAAAAATTTGAATTTTAATAAAATTATGCATTATTAGAGGATAAAAAAAGGGAGTGTGAACAAAGGGCATGCTTATTGTTTTGTGGATGAAAATGTATCATATCATATACAACTTGGATTAAGATGTATGTATTTAAGATATTTATAATGCTATATAGGAATAAATGAGCTATGATTTTATGCTTTAGTACTATGTTTGTGTAGCAACTAATTTAATTGTAAACTTCAATACGGTATATTACAAAACCCGCATAATTTGAGTAGGTACTCGAAACGTATCAAAATCTTAACTTGATGTACGATAATTTCAGGTTTATACGTTCATTAAATAATATTATTATATTGGAAGGTCTGTGCATGTGAAGTGTAGGTAACTATGTTGTTTTGCTATTGAAACCTAAATAAATAATTAATCCATGGCTTATAGTAATATTATGTAGGTAGCTGCAGCATAACAGCTAAATCACAATTTCGCTTATATTTAATAGCTATTTTTATTTTTTTAAATTATATCCTAAAAATAATATTATTATACTATAATAATATTATGTATTTCAGAAGGGACTCGTTTTAAAATAACTATACCTACTTTAAACGGTTTATGCGAATAAACGTTTATAATAAACAATAATAGGTACAAGTTTTAACCTATGATGGTGAATACTTACACCCTGACACATTATTTTATGCACGAAATATTGTTTCATGTGGTGGAATAAATAGGTATTAATAGCAATGAATTTGAACTTCAAAACACGTCGCGTGTAGATTCGATAGCATTATACAAAATGTAAACAGTAAACTTTTATATGAATCTAAAAGCGTATGCATGCTCACAGTATGGCGTGGAGTGTGACCAAGTGCCATTTTCTGTGCACACCATGCTGGGTTTTCCGATAAGCTGATGTTTTTCTCCGCAAGAAAACTGTACCACGGAACCGACGACATGACGTCCCGGTGCTGAATCTTCGATCAGGAGACCGTTGAGTGGCACAACCGGGGGTGGACACAGAATTTCTGAAACACAAAACACAATACGCTATTCAATAATATACTGTAGTTATACTGTGATAACAAATTGTTGTGAATAACGATTTTTTTTTAAAACTAAACCGACTCGATTTAACGTTTTATTATTGCGGTAACGCCATCTCCGTGGATTACCTGATATTGTTCAATATGATAATATCGCTCGCTAACTATGAATCGTAAAAAAATACGGGTCGACGAATGTGACCATAAACAATGTTTCGAGGATAATGGATGCCTTAAAACGTGTTGCCAGCAGAAACATTGCAGCGGTCGTATTACTGCGTCGCCTGATTCGTCGACCGCAGTGTTATACCAGCATCGCGCATCGGTGCCATTTTGCGGCGACGATACACCAAAATATTATACTGCACCAGACAATGCGTCAAATATCGACCCCGACGATAAAGCAATTTTGGAATACCTCACCGTTGGATGTTTACACGGAGTACGACGAAAGTGGAACACGTTGTAGCGGAAAAATTGTACCTATTTGACGAATGATTCGATTTTTTTTCCCAACTTCAGAATATATGAAAACCGAAAAGAATCAGTAAGAATTGAAAAATCCTCAATATTTAAAAGAGTGTATTGAAAAGAGAGTTCAATAATAGAGAAAAAAAGTTTCACTTTTGAAATATCTGTTACCTAAATAGAATTGCGTACTTGAAATTCATTGTTCTATTGAATCCCGAAAATTCACTTTGCAGTGAATCTGGGTCCTAATTATAATTCTTCTTTAAAGTCACACATGGTATTTGAGTCATTATATGTACGATTGTTATTATTCAGTGTTGAAAAAAAAATTGTTCTTCTATAGTTCTACACAGTGAAGCACCACAATTGCCTATACATTACGCCGTGTTACAGAATATGACGTTAATAATAAGAGATGGACATGAAACTTGGTACACAGTACACACTACAAAGTAAACCGTCTTATTTACATAAATTGTTGTATAATAGTGGTATTTTATTTATTGTTATATAATTTAAGCGAATAATAAATAATAGTAAGGTGAATTTAATACGTACAATGGAATTTTTAGTTTCTATAGAATTATTAATTTCTAAATTACAATTTACAATAAAACAACCATTGGTTTTGTTACGTATTTTACCATGTACTCCCTGCCATCCAATTTGGTAGTAATTCTTTTATACATAAATGAACCTACTATATACATATTACATAAGCAACTTTTTTTTGTATTCCCTGATATAATGATTTTTCTTTAAAAAATTGTTTCATGGAACTCTATGAACACTAAATCTACTCTGACAAAAATCATCGTTGTAAAACAATACAGAAATGCTCTTATAACTTTTTGAAGTTGAGTTTGTAAGTTTTTTATTTCGATTATTAATTGATTAATATGGGAAAATCATATGAAAAGAGTAAGTTTTCATTCCACTGTCTTTTAATGATAAAAACTGACGCATAAATACATTTTAGTATTTATAATATGGTTTATATTGTTGTTTTATTTTTTATTTTTGAATTAATGTATTAATATTACATTATTGATCCTACAACATTATAAAGTACGAAATACTAATATTTGCATGTATTTTTGAATATATCGAACTAAAGGCGAGGACATATGATTTTGACATTGTATGAGTTCTTGAACGTTGTAAATATTTGAAATCCTTTATAATAAAAAAAAAGAAAAGGATTTCTTTAAATATAGAAATACATATTCAGTTTAATATAACTTTAATCCTTTAGTAAATAAAAATAAATACAAAATAAAAAATAAATTATATTTTAATGCTAATTTGAAATATACACTACTTTGCTAATACTAAAGCATAAAGATTATTCAATAACACTATATACTAGATAGTATATAACATTGAGTGATAATGTATAAATAATTTAATATAAACACGGACAGTTTATATTACCTACCTATAGATAATTGAATCTACATAATTATTAAATTTAGAATATCATTACGTTGGTACCTAAATAAAATATCATTAAATTGATGTCAAAATAATCCAATTAACTTTTCCATATATATATAATATGCATAATTTTGTACATTGTGTATATTTTAGTTAATATCGATTACATAAAAAGCTGTTAAATGGTATTATTTTTTTTATTTAGTTATATTTTAATAAGAAAAAAAGTTGTATCTCGTTTAATAAATTATACCAAATTGATTTATTCGAAATTATACACAAATTTGATTGTTTTCCTAACCTAACATTTAACAATCACTCGGCACTCTTTAATCGAACCTTAATCAAACGTATTCTACTTAGTTACGTATTTGGCATATATCATACCAATATATTTGCACATTTATATACTTAGGTGGTGAAAAAATCATTTTTAAATTAATTAAAATTCTAAAGCGAATGATACTCAAATATTCTCAATCATTTTGAAACATCGATCATAAAATGATATTTTTGAATACACAAGCCGATATATTATTATAAAATAATATTTTCATTATTTATATTACAAAACAGAATATACGAAGTACCAATATACAATAATTAATAACTAATATTTATTTGGCTATGATATCATGAACATGATGTGCGTAAGTTATATTAAAAATTAAATTTTTTTTAATACTGATTTTTTATATTTCATATAAATAACACTTTTTTAACAATGCATTAAAACATTCCCGTGAAAACGAATGTTATGATATTTTGTTAAGTGACTCATACGTTGTAGGTATCCAATTTGACGCTTGTTATATTTTGTTACATGGTGAACCCATCCCATAATTTCATTAACTACAGTTCTGTGTCCACATTACTAGATTGTTTGAAATAAAGTTTATTTTAATAATGAGATTATTATCGTTATATTGTATTTTTTTTTTTAAAGTTTTTAATGTTATATTATGACATTTAATTTAAAATTTAAATAAAAAGGGTTCAAGATTATTGTATTAAAAAGGACTATTATGTTAAGGTTTGTTCCAAAAATAAAAATGCAATCTGTTTACTACTGTTATCGCAGTTTTTAAGTGTAAACAAATTATCGGGTTGTAAATTAACCACAGTACATGTTTATCTTGCTTTTTTACAAAAAAATTAAATGTATTCACAAAAATGGATGCCGAATCATCATAGGCATTATATTTCATAACATTAATTCTGAACTATTTGTTTCCATTTAATTTGATTTTATATGAAAAAAATTGATTTAAATTAAGATTTAGAAAAATAGATAATTTACTTAATGAATATTATGGGAAAAATGAATGAAATTATTGACAAACGATATTATTACGAAATGTATAGAATAATAGTTAATACAGATTCGGTTGAATATATTATATTGTATTACCGTATCACGATACAGCGATGAATCGAAATTCACAGAATACTTTTGGATTTTACATACACATGTGTACTATAATACATAGTGTGGTACTAAAATCGAATAAATATGTTTCGTCACGAATTTACGATGTGTATATTTTTGTTGCTCGATTACCTTAATTCGTTTTCGAGATATTTTGGTTTTATGTCACACCCACGACGGTGTTTCCGAAGCACTTACGGATCTTTATGTCTAAAATACGATCGATAAAACCAATTGAATGTGGTGAGCAAAGCGGGAATGGCAGCACACCATTAGCGGAATGAGAATAAAATCCTATCCGTTTTGGAACGATATGACAATAATATCCACAGTCAATAGTACCCTCGGGGGATATGCGTTCGGTTCTACTTCCAGCATCTAGCATGTACGTGAGGTTTATTCAGATGAAAGCAATACGGTAATTTGAAAATACACAAATAATAAAATGTAAATTTTTATAAATAAGAAAAAAATTATACTATTTGAATATTATTCATATTACATTATCCCATATTTGTATAATTAATCAATAGTTGGATAGCTTGATAAATATTTACTTTTGTTCACAAATATACCAAACGTATATAGGTACAATGTTTATTCTGGGCTTATTATTTGTTATTGTTGTTGTTTTGTTTTGATATTACTGTACAATTTATTTATTTATTCAAGAAAAAATAAGTTTATTTATATATTCCCTTTATAAAAAAATTGAGTATTACAAGTATGTGGTTACTCAAATACTTTACTTATCTGCATGCTATATACATTGTATTTTGTCTTTAGTGGATAAAACAATATTGATTCAAATTAGTATCGATATGCAGATATAAACATAATATTTAATACCTATTATTACTAATTTTAAATCGAAAGAGATTCGAGAGACTGAGACCTCAGGGCTTCACCAATCGGACATACATACTCCTATTGAATTTGTATAAGTAATTAAAAAAAACCTTGTAAATAACTCATGTAAATTATTATTGTAAATAACTGTATTATGTTGGCCATGGCAGTCAACAATGTATTTATACAATGAATAAAAAAAAAACGTAATCGGATAAAAATATACAGTCGACTAATTTTATAAAGTATTAATATTATTAATTAGGAATAATTTAATTTTTTTATTGCGATCGTGAATACTTTTTCATTTCACTGAGATTATAATAATATAGTCTATTTTATATAATATGTCGTCGGTAAAACAAATTTAATTAATATATTATCACGATATCATTTTTTATATGACTTACTTTACAATATTATGTAATATTTTAAAGCTGTATTTTGAATTGGTAATATTTTACAACCATTATCTTGTATACCTTTTCGATTAATATATTCCTGTTTGTTTTTATATTTACATACTACATGTTTCTGAATTTTTGAAATAACATAAGAATATAATTTAATACGTTTTGGAATAACATAACAATTATTTTCATAAAATATAAACTTAAAGTGTAAATATGGATCTACTGATAGTGTTTACATAATATTGTAGTTTAATATAAAAAAGTATAAAAGGATAAATAAATGTTATGAGAAAACATAGCCTTATCATAAACTGTTTTAACCAGAATATTCTTTGTGTTTCGAATTAAAATAGATTATAAACTATAGGAAATTCGTAATAATT